AAAAAAAAAAAAGAAAAAACACTGTACATCGACTCTTCATCCTAATGAGTTAAAACTATAAAATAGAAATAAATGTACATATCAATATTTCCTCTAGATAAGTGCAGGTCAAAGACGATAAAAATAAATCTGTAATGCTACAGCCTCACTTTCAATATGTGTTCTTTCTTTGTTATTGTCCAACATCTATGTGTTTAATTGACATTATCGATAAGAGCTTCTTTTCTGCTCGTTTTGAATCACGCACTATTTTTTAAAAAGGTTTTTATTTTTTAAATCATCGTCTGGACGTAATGAAACTGGTGCACGTACAGTGGGATGCATCTCTCACTGCTGATGCCTGATGCCATTTACACAACGGACTCACTCACAGACTCTCGTTTTGCATACATGAACAAGGAAGAGGTGGAGAGGGGGAGAGAAAGAGAGGAAGGTCTGCGCTCAGTCAGCTCTCCCCCAACCTCACTTCTCTTCCTCGTCCTCCTCTTCCTCCTCTTCTTCCTCCCCCCTGCTCTTCCTCCTCCTGATGTTTATCCTCCGCCGGGACGCCTCAGTTCCACAGTTTGAGGAAACTGTCCCAGGATCCTGTGCAGACGCCCATCCCATCCTCAGGGACGCCGGTGCAGCTCACCCTGTTGTCATGGCCGGACAGAACGCCTGGAGGGGGAGGAGAGGAAGAGGAGGAGGAAGAACAGAGAGGAAAGGGGAGAGGAGGAATTCATAAAATTATACCAAAAAAAGAGAAAAACGAATGAGATGAACACAAGAGGAAGAATAAAGAAAAGGAAAGAAGGAAGGGGCAAAGAAAAAGAGTAAGTAAGGAATGAATGACAGGATTTAAGCATCAAAGAGAGAAAGGAAAGAAGAAGAGGAGAAAGGGGATGAAGCAGAAGAAAGAACAGAAGACGAGAGGCGTGTACTATATTTATATGATTTGATTTTCTTTCCTCAGACAAACTCTGAACTCGTTTTTCTACCTGTTGCTAACGTTCATTTTCCTCCGAGCAGCTGAAGGAAGTTAGTTTGTTGTTTGCTCACCGACTTTCTCTCCCTTCAGAGAATCCCAGATGTGACAGTTGAAGTCGTCGTAGCCGGCGAAGATGAGGCGGCCTGAGTTGGACAGAGCCAAAGATGTGACGCCGGCGTTCAGGCTGGTGTCCTGGTAGCCAATCACCTCCTGGTCAGCGCGCAGGTCGTACATCTTGCAGGAGCAGTCGTCAGAGCCCGTGATGATGGCGTTTCCACTGGGGAAGTACTGAGGAGCAGAGAGAGGGAGGGAGGAGAAGAAATGATCTTTCGGACTCAAACATGCGAGACGTGTTTTACTGCGCCTGAAGGTGCTGTGTGCGTGGTGCGTTGGTTTCCGTGGAGCCTCACAGAGATGGCGTTGATGTCGCTGGTGTGTCCACTGAAGGTCTGCTTGCAGGTCCCTTCCCTCAGGTCCCACAGCTTGGCCAGAGAGTCGCAGGCTCCAGAGATGAAGGTGTTCATGTCGGAGGACAGAGCCAGAGACATGCAGTCTCCGATGTGGTTGGTGAAGATGATCTTCTGCTTGCCGGTCTCCAGGTCCCACAGGCAGCTGAGGGGAGGGCGGGGGAGAGGGGGGTTACTCTTTGTAACAGCTGTTTAAAAAAGACAGACTTTAACACTTTAGATTGGATGAATAAAAGTTTCTCTGTCCCGGTGGAAGTTTCACGTCCGGTGGCGCAAAAGCAAAACTGTGCTGAACTCACCAGGTGGTGTCACCAGAGGCGGTCAGGATCTCAGAGTCGCTAAGGAAACGGCAGCAGGACAGGTAACCTGGGAGCGAGAGGGACAACCGAGCGTTTAGTCAGTACCTTCACCCGTCCGTCCTCCGTCAGCGTCATCCTCACCTGTGTGTGCGTCCAGCTCCCTGAGGGTCTTGGGGCTGGCGGCCTTGATGTTGTAGACTGTGCAGATGTTGTCCAGACCACCGCTGGCCACCAGGTTACCAGAGGGGGCGAAGGCGACGCTCATCACCCAGGCCGACTTTAGTGGGACGGCGATCAGCTGGGAAGCACAGGTTCAGTTCATCCACAAGCTCGTTCACACGACGACATTTAACCTGAAGTCATTCAAGATTTCTCCTCATCATTTTTATTCCTGACAAATTGACTCACCGCTGAAATCCAGACTAACGTGATTACTGGAGGATTAGAAGCTGTGAACAGCCGGTAACTAGTCCGACCAGTTTGACCAGTAAGTCAGTCAAACCATAAAGTAGAACATCGAGACGGATTGTTGCACCAGTGATGTTTAAAACTAAACTATACTTTACCTTTCCAATTCCAACTTGAAATTTAAAACTCAAACTTTCAGTTCAAAATTTCATAATCTGGAATTGAGAAACTTTGAAACTTCGTACTAAACTTGAAGGTTGAACGTTGTGAACTGAGACAACCTGGGACATTACTGTGCGTTTTCCTCACTGAGCGACGCCAGAGACATTTTATACATGAGACATTTCACCTTGTTCCCAGTGAAGGTGTCCCAGACGAGCAGCTTCCCGTCCTGTGACGCGCTGACCATTTGCCTGTGACACGAACCAGGAAACAGTTTGAACGAGAATCACATATTAAAACACAGCAGTGATGGTGAAACCCAACATTCTCCACAAGCGCCACAAACGTAAAGCTAAAAGATCTGGTTCGCCCCCTGGTGGCTGGCTGCAGTACAGCTCATAAACCCCGTCTCCTCCATGTTAGCAGACGGGACATTGACCAAACCTAAAAAAAATTGTTGTCCGATGATATAAAACGGAGCTGAGGCGTCATGATTGACGGCTGACACTGACTCCTGCGCAAGATGGCGGATCACAGATATCTGATCTTCATTTTGTGGAAATGCGTTTTTCATTTTACGTAAACAGACACTGGGCGTGTCCCCTCACCTGGAGTCAGCTGACCAGTGCATGGCGTAGATTTTGGCCAGATGACCCTTGAGCGTCTTCCTCAGCTTCAGCTGGACTCGGCCCACCGCAGTGGCACTTCCTGCTGCTGAGGACATGCTACTGTCGTTCACAGCCTTACGGGCCGCCTGGGAGGGGGCGGGGCATGGACAGAGAGCGAGAGAGAGAGAGAGAGAGAGAGAGAGAGAGAGTGAAGGGGAAGTTGAACCTTCTTTTTCCATATCCAGTATTATTATATCTTTGTTTACGTGTCTTCAAAGTTTCCTTGTTGCTGATTTGAGATTCATCATTACGTTACGTCACTTCCTGTTATTATTGTTTTGAGCATGAATGGGGCAGATGAGTGTAGCTGTATAATTTGTGTTGCTTTCATTTTGTCAATCCATTTGTGTTACATTATTTTTTATAGAATTGATGTACAAATACATTCTGTGTGATTAATTGATTGATTGACTGGTGTAGGTGGTACTAGCACTCGTAATAGTACTATACAAAGTACTTGAACAGTGGTGCTAGAGGTCAGATTCAGCAGCAGTAAACAGTGAATAATAAAACATGTGTGTCTGCTCGATTTAGGAGAAACTGAACTAACTGCACCTTCTGCCTGGGATCCATGTATCTCTAGTTAAAGGGATTCTTCAGTTTCCAATTGTTCTAAATTAGTAATTTCTTCTTTTAAATAAACAACAAACATTTGATCTTATTTTACTACCTTTGTCGGCCTCTTACTGACTCTCAGCTGTAACAAGTGAATTTCCCTGGCGTGGGATTAATAATGTTTATCGTACTGTATCGTAACGCATCACATGAAATCGTATCGTAACGTAATGTATTGAATCGTATGGTACTGTATAGTTTTAAACTGTTTCGCATTATATCCTATTTTAGAATATAATAAAACAGTGATAAAAACTAATTTTGGAATCAACCTTGAACTCGTTTTCTGTGATCAGGCCTCGTGACTCGTTAATAACCTGTATCGGGAATGTAAGGTTTCACCTGCAGGAGGCGCTCACCTCAATCTGTGCACGGATGCCATCGCACTCCTTTTTCAGTGCATCCATTTCAGCTTTCTCAGCTGCCATGGCGACGGTTGCTAAGGAGTGTTACTGACGGAAAACGAAGCTGCGACTGCGAAATGAGAGAAAAGATGGAAATGGAGGAAAATATGAGTTAATTGGTTTTCAGTCTTTGCACAGACAGGAGGTCGGACAGGTTACAGGGAGGACGGTGGTTCCAGTTTGTCCATAAGACGACTGTGAGAGTCCTCATGTGTGACCCTGACAGGACACGACTTCTGAGATCAGCTGAGCGCTCCGAACATCGCTCAGTGACCCTGACACCTTGATCTGGATCACTCAGGGCGTCGTTACCATCGTGTCTCGAGCAAAGATTAGACACGAACCTAACGGCTGTAATCCCTCAAAGTTGTGACACTGTTAACTGTCGTGTGAGGTGAAGGTGTGAAGGGAGGAGATGGAGAGATGAAGGGAGGAGATGGAGAGATGAGGGGCGATGCTCAGCATGGAGGAGGGAAAATGGACGGATGCAGGACAGGAATTAAGCTGAAGGAAAGTGAGAAAGGGAAGCTAACACTGCTTGATAATTTATCTTTTATATCTAGGTATAATATAGACAGTGAACCATAATCCCTGGATGTTATCGGTACATTTCTAAATGCTGCTGAGTTTTTATGCTCAGTGAAACTTAAAATAATCAGAACGGTCTTGATCATGACACCTTTCCATTCAAGGTGTTGCACGATTTGATGTCAGTCTGTGAAACTCAAGCTGTGTAAAATATTTCATGCCGAATATTTGTATGAGATCAAAGTTGTTTAAAGTTTGTTATCAGCGGAGCGAAGAAGCTGTAGACAAAACCTTCGATTGTCCTTCTACCTGTGTGGTGGATTTCCCTGCGTGCTGCCGTTCGGTGTATGTCCCTAATGCTCCGTAAGAGGATGCTGACGTCTGACTAATTTAACACCAATTACCTGCCAGAAAAACCCTGCCCATTGCCAAGGAACTTTGTTTAATGCTAATCGATGCTAATCAGCAGAGCTTGCAGAGCGTCAGGTGATGTTCAGACAAAACGAGGTCTCTTTATAAAAGATGATGCACGATGGATAAAATGCAAAACAATGAAGAAGGAGCTTCCACCACCTGTTGCAACGCGAATAAGAGAGTAAGTGTAGTTTGCAAGGACACGAGTCGAGGACAAATATAAAAACCTTTGCAGAACATGATTTCATATCATTTGAAATGACTTCATTTGGGAGTTTGAGCTGCTGAAACACTCGATGTCTGATGCTTAGTTAACAATAGAAGGAATCGTTCAGAGGGGAAACTTGAGGCCCCACGATAATGAGGTCACAGGATCCATGTAAGAGCAGAGGGGAAGGTTTGGATGTGGCCTATGTGCAGGGTGAAGGGTTAGGAGACAGGAGGGGCAGTGGCTGCAGGGATGGAGGTTTGGGACGGGCTGCTACAGGGCTTTAAATCCCCACAGGAGATCTTGAGGGAAGCTTTACCGCTCAAATCTCCTGTCATCCGCTTACTGACTGCTCTTTACCTCGGGATCAGAGGGAGAGGGAGGGTGTGGACGCTGATGGACCTGGATTGTCTGTTCTTGTCCAAACGTCAAGGAGCTCCTCCTCCACCGTCCCGTTCTCTCATTTGACGGGGAATGATGATGATGCGGCCCCTACGTCTCCATGAACATTTTACGGTAAAAAGGATTTTCCCAAAGCTGAAACATGTCTGGAAGTTTTCCCTCGCTGGAAACTTTGCAGCTTTAGAAACTATGGAGGAAATCTGCAGACAAAGCTGGTGGAGGTTTGGCCACGTGTGAAAGATCAGGCTGCAGCTTACTGCTGCTACACCTGAGGCACCAATCCTCTTTAGCAGCTTCCCTACTATCCAAAGATCACCTTCAGAGGGTTTAAGGAATCATGACATTGGCTGCAGCCTCAGACAGGACTGATAAATGATTCTATTGCATGCAAGAAATCAGTGTTTCAATATTGAGAGACTGAAGCAGGGTTTGTTGCTGCCTTTTAAAAATCAAATCAAAAGTGAAGGAGGAAAATCTGTGTTTCTGCAAAAGTGGTTTGCAGGCAGAAGATTCCACATTAGTTTCTCACAACTTTTCTGTGTTGCACTTTGTAGTAAAAAATCTCCTGCTGGTTTAAAAATCTCATAAAAGAAATAATCCACTTTGAACTCTCGTCATTCACAATAAATGGAAGCAGCTCGGTGTTTCTCCAAATGATCCCAGACAGCAGAGGAAGCTCTGGAAGAAAAGAACAAGAGAAAAAGGAGAAACTCACCTTTTCCACTCACAACGTGATTCCTCCTGTTCCTCTGAACCTGTTCCCAGACTCCTCCGGCTCCGCGTTCCCCTCGCAGTGTTTTTTAGATCCTACAATCCCAGGGTGCACCACCTGCTCACTGGCTCCTCCGACGCTCTTCCCCCGGCAGACTGCTCGCAGCTTGTGCTCGTGAAAAACTCTCTCTTTCTGTCTCCCTTCCTCCACAGCGAAGAACAGATGAGGATTGGAGGGGATGAAGGAGATAAGGGATGAAGGGATAAAGCTCAAAGATGGAAATAGAGAGTCAAGGAGAGAGAGAGAGAGAGAGAGAGGAGAGACAGGGAGAGGGAGCGATGGCGAGAGGAGGCAGGTAAACCGATTGGAGAAAGAAAATCAGGTTACGAGGTCAAAAGACAAGAGCAGGTGAAGAAATGAAAGAACGAAGCCGGAGGAGAAAGGGAACAGGTGGAGATGAAATGTGAGACTATGAGACAGTGGAGGTCTGCAGAGAAAAGAGAAACTCTGAGGGAAGGAAACAAACATGTGAAGTAAATATGTGTTGGATCTTGTTTCAGTGAGTTTTATTGAGTTTAAGACGCAAATTAAAAGTCTAAATAAAGTCACATTAAAAATTAGCCTTTATTGGTTTAGGAGGAATATCGAGTGATGGCTTTTCTTGATGTTTCTGAGGGGACGCCTGATTCGCTGCATTGCAGCACATGTTTTTTGTCTGGATGCAGGAGCGGGGCTGGATCGTCTGAGTCGGAGGTTGGCAGAGGTGAATTGGTTTGTCAGAGCTAATGAGCTGAGCCCAGTTAATCAGGGTCTAATGGGATATCCGGGGACGGTCAATCTCGTTAGAGAATTAGAGCAGGTCAGGCTAAACTTGCGTCACACCTGAAACACGCCGAGGGCCGAGAAGGAAAGTGGATCAAGAGTCCAGATGCAGTGAGATTTTCCTCCGAATCAAACGGGGATGGACAACCGTGGCAGCGGCTCCTCGAAAAACAGCTGCAAATCAAAAGAGATGCAAAGATTAAAAAAAGACTTTTTATTTGGAGGTTTTAGAGAAAATGTTCCCTCCAGATCTGTAGAGGGGGATGGGGGGGGGGGGAGAAAAGTGACACAGCAAATGAGTGACGACACGAGGGAGAGCAGGTATTGGTCTTCCATGAGAGATCATCTCGTTGGGCCCGCCCTCCTCCCGCTGACGGAACTCCGCCTCCATAACAATCTGACAAGATGTCAATCAGATCTCCAAACAGCATGTATCTACAGCTCGCTGTGTTTTCAGTGACCTTCAGGTTCTGAAGTCGGTGTGTAGAGGAACAGGCCAGAACTTCATAAAGACACAACATAAACTGAAGAAAGATGGACGACAAAACTGAAGCCAAAGTGCCTCGATCGCCCCCTGGTGGCTGGCAGCAGTACAGCTCATAGATCCCGCCCCCTCAGCACACGGTAAATAATTAAAATCAAAAAGGTTTTTGACACTTTCAGTTAAAAGAATCAAAAAATTACAGCGATTACTGAATTTGGTCAAATAATCTGTAGCTGTGATATTGAGAGCAACAAATGAACCGTAAACTATAAATAAAGGAGTGAGGCTAAATCATCTGGATCGCCCCCTGGTGGCAGGCTGCAGATGGAACATGGACCGAACTAAAAATCTAAGTATGCATCGAACATTTAAGATGGTTTCTGTCATTTCAGCTCGTTCTTCTCTCACGGATGTTTGTTCAAGTGTTTCTGATCAGTTTGGTTTGACTCAGTTATTTGATGATATGGAAACAGGCTGAGACGTCATGATTGACAGCTGAGACGTCATGATTGACAGCACAGACTTCGGTGTAAAAGAGTTAGAGCCGCTCAGAGGGCAAAGGTCACTCAACACCTTCTTCGCCCAGAGTTTCGTCCCGCCGATACAAAGAATGAGATCTAAACTGACATTAGCTTCACGATATCCGAGCCGCTCGTCCCTGTGTCTGCTCAAGGTGCTCAAACAGCCGGCAGATGTTCGGGCGCTCAGGGAGCGTTGCCTGGTTACAGCTCTAAGCTCTGACTCTTGTCCTCGCGCATCACGACTCGCTGCTGAGATCATCGCCGATGTTTGACGGCCGCCCGCAGCCTGGACTTTCTCATTAAGCCTCTTTTTTTTTAGCTGCAGGTTTCGGCTCAGACCTCGTTGACATCAGCGTTTGAAGCCGTGCGAGACCTGTTGGTTTAATTTGTGAGTCAAACACACACGGGTCAAATGCCTGGAACAAAACCACCTCCTGCTCAGGTTGTTTCATTCATAGCAGAAGATAAAATATTAGATACATGGATCAATATAAACCTTTCAGTTGATATTAGTCCTGCAGGGGGCGCTGCTCAGGTTTGGGTTTGACCCATGTCCTTAACATTTTCTGCTGTGTGATATTTTCAGTCTCGAGGGGCCGCGTTGTACCGCTGTTCAATTCCATTCCAGTAGGTGGCGTGATGCGCGATAGGCCTTTTTTATCAAATGCGATGTTCACCACATTTTGTGAGTCCTTCTTCTTCTTTTTTTTGCAACCAAAACAAGAGAGCGCCACCAACTGGACTGGAAAAGTGTTGAATAAAACCAAAAACATGGAGCGTGGAGCCTGCACAGTCGATGCAGACGTCAGAAGCAGTTCGGTGTCAGTTTGTGGAACTATGGCGCCAACGAGTCCTTCAATGTGCACGACCATAAAGGACGTTTGTCTCAACCCTCGCATGCGTTTACACGATAAACCAGACCTCTCTCATCATGGCGAGCTTAAGAAACACAGGTTGTGGAATGGCAATGAATAAAATAAACAACGCTGTTCGTTTCACACGGGACTCAAACAGCCGGCTCTGTTTCTCTTTGACTTCAGCCACTAGAGGTCGTGTTGAAACAGTGTCATTCCAGAAAAGAGAGGTTTTTGATCTCTGCATAAATACAAAAACTAATAATACTAAAGAATACTTGGGCTATTACAGCTGCGTTAGAATTAAGCACAAAACAAGTGAGTCTATGAATCTAAATTTTGAGTGAACATGATTTTATATTCTACTGAAAACAGACGTGACAGAAAGAGAAGCAGATCTTTGTTTTCAGAGGGAACAACTACAGGAGACTCAAGTAACGATCACCTGAAGTTTTCCTCTTGCCCCTGAGTTCAGTGTTTGTCCGACGGGACGTTATTACAGCGAGCGAGTAACGAGCCCGAGTGTTTCTCCTTCCTCCTCTGGGTAAGTCGGGGGCCTGTAATCCGGGCTAATGAAGTGTGACAGAAGAGGGCTAGCTGACTTCCTGATAACTCCCTGAGGTAACGAGCTCAGGAGGGAAGCGGCAGAATAAACCGTCCCCTCCTCTCTCTACCTTTGACTTCTCATTCAGTCGACGCAGCAGGAAGTGGACGAGGTGATGTGGAATGTAGGTCCGCCAGCTCGGAGAAGAACAGACCAGACGTCAGGGGCGGATTTGACACAGTTGGTTTTGCACAGATGATGCAAATAAATATATTTGAACAGAACTAAACTTCACGCAGCTGGTGTAACAAGGATAGAAACAGAAATATAGAAAGGTTGGAGTGTTCGTCTCCGATTCTGTGTTTTTCTGAAAATGTTCTTTTTTGGTTTTCAAGGTAAATTTGTGCAAAGTACAAATGCAAATAGATTATGTATGAATACAGATAGATATTATATATTATATATATAATATTATAATCCTGCACAAAACTCATCGATCTTGTTTTGTTTATGTAAAACAGTTATTTAGAAGATGAACCCAAGTTTCCTCTTTAAACTTTATTTATTAGCATTAACAGATATTAACTTTGCCTGAAACCCTGATTTTTAATTTTTCAAACATCTAAATAATTCACACGATGAATAAATGTTGACGTGTTAGAGTCTGAATATGCTTTTACTTTGAAAGGTCTGAACCTGCAACAGGAGGAAAACCTCCGTTAAGGTGTCTCTAGGTTGTTTGTGTGAGCAGCGCCACCTGCTGGCCGACTACAACATCACAGACGACACATAACTATCGTTTCAAACCAGGTTGTGTTTTTCATACATTAAATGATTAGAGGATAATTTATTTTTCAGAGGTTATTTATTTTTCATTATTTCAGCATTTATTCGACAATTACAAAAAAAAATTTTGTGGCCACGTTTTTACGAAACTAGCAAATAAACAAATTCATTTGAACAATAAGCCTTCAACCTTAAATCACAAGCAAATTAATCAGCTGTCCGTGTCTCCTGGAAACTCCTGGATGCAATTTATCAAACTGAAAATGTTGTATTTTTGGAGTCCGGACTATAAACGAGGGGTAAGAACGACAGTGTGAGCTGGACTCACGTGTTTATTTGTGTTATGTGCGTCAGCTTAATGTCTAATATAGTTTTTTTTATATAAAAATGATTTTGAAGTGAAGCAGGAAACGGTTTCAACACCTGAAAATGTCACATCACAGCTGCACAAATGAGACACATGATTAATACAGTCAACAGGGTGCGTGTTTAGTTTTTATAATCTAATCTTCACGACCACCGACAAATCAACTCTGCTTCACCAGAAAACCTCCATCACAGCGCGGTGACAGATTCACATCCACAAAATGAAGTTGGCTGTTTATTTACATGATCCACAGGACACGCCTCCTCCATTTCACATGTTTGATTAACGATGACTCAATCAACAAACAGCAAAAGTGCATCAGATTCACCAAAACATCAGATCTGATGATCTCAAATCTACCGTCGGCACCTTTATTATCATTATTCCTTTACGGACAGTTAATGTGCTAATATGCTAAATACAATTTCACGCTAGAAGTAAGTGAAAACATAAAAAGATCATGAATCCCTGATTTATCGATGTTAATTGTAAATTAATATCGATGGTGGAAGTATATTTTTATAATCTTACATTTTAAGCCATTTCCTTCTACATATATATCACAGGTGGAAAATTACACCCTTTGATTTACAAACGAGTTAAATCATGGGATTACTTGGAGTTATTTACTACAAGTTTAACTTTTCCAATAAAAAACTTTACCTGCTGACATGTTAGACTAAATATTGTTGTTTGCTGCTTCACATTTTGTCTTTAGCACCGTTCTCTGAGATCTGTTGTCTCGTGATTCATGGTGTAATGAGAGGCCATTAAAGGGTTAACGCAAAATAATACGTGAAGGTTAAACAACAACTTTTAACCCGTGTGTCCATCGTTTTGGATTTTTAAGGCAAAATCAACATCTGAATTTCTTCAGATCAAAATAATGGGAATTAAAAGTTGAGGTTTTAAAAGAATTTGAATGATGTAAGATATTTGTAAATGCAGCTAAAACCTGATAAACCAGCCACCGGTTTTCCTGGCGCCTCAGTGTGGAATGGCCGTGCTGCCACCGGCGCCCATCTCCTTCTCGCAGATGAACGGCAAAGGCATGGTGCAGGGGGCGTCGTACCAGCTCCGTATGGCCACTCGCGCCAACACCCGAGTTTTGATCATGTAGCCGCAGTCCTCGTTGATGTGGTTGTTGGGCTCGCCGACCTCCCAGAAACTGTCGGGACAGAAAATTCAAAACGGTCAATTCATCCATAAACATTTTGATTTCTGTTCAGAACCCAGAGGAATTATTTTCCCACGAGAGCACAAGTTCATTATTTACGCCCAGAGACAAGGATTACAGCCAATGTTGAGTTTCCATAGAAGATGTGCAGCGCTTTATGTTAGAGAGAGTTTTTAAATCATTGGTGGGAATAACTATCAGATGGATTACAACTGGAACTGTGTATTCCTCTTGTTCCCCTGTGGATGTTTCCTAAAACCGGATATTAACACAGGATTTATTGTAAAAACTTTAATGATCCGTAAAAAAAGTTTTTATCTAGCGCCATCGTCTGGTCAAAATTATACTTTGTTCAATAATCGTAAAGGTTTATAATTAATTAGCGATCAATCAGAAATGAAAAACAAGCTGAAGCCCTTCTCGTCTGAGTTCCTTCTGAGTAAGAAAAACATGTGAGCAGGAAAAGAGGAAGGGAAGGAATGAGGGGCCGAGAGAGGGATGAAAAAACATCTGTCATCAAAACACATTTTCAAAACGAGGAAGAAACATCAGATGATATTTAATAAAAACACTGGAGACCTGAGAGTTTAGAGGATCATATTCTTCATATTCATATAAACTTTTTATTCTTATATCTTTGTTGATCTAACATGAGCTTGATTTTGGACGACAATATAAAACCCAGGTGTCGTGCACGGTCCCCGAGGCCAGTTTCTGATCCGTGATCTCGTCCTTTCTCTTAATAAGACACAGACACAAAACAAGACACGAGCGAGACGAGGCTGTTTGACACATTTCAGCTCCTCTCTCTTTGGAGCGAGTTCATTTGTTTTTCCATCAGAGGTCAGAGGTCAGCTGCTGTTTGCAGATCCCGCCCCCTCCAGCTGTTGCCTCACATCTGTAACTTAAAACCTTAACTCCTGACTGACCGTCCCATCGCTTCAGATCATTTCCTCAACAAACCAACGATGATTTCTCGATCTGCATTGTTCTCCTGGCTTGACTCAATTTAGTGCAATCTACAAATTTAAAGGATTAACAAACAGCTCTTCATTTAGCGCCTTAGCACGCTAACATTAACTAACAGCACCAAACAAAGAATGACAGCTTTTTTTTTGGACATAAGAATCTTTAGTCTTAAAGGACAAATCAACATTTCGACGAGATGGTGGTGTGAGAGGAAAGAGAAGGACAAATAAAGTGAAGTCCAGATGTCTCAGTGTGAGGACGTCTTCCAGAGAATCCAGGGACGTTTGAGAGCCCGGAAACTTCAATCAATCAATTACCCACAAATCACAGTGTTTCTCGTGGATCTGGAGTAAAACTACCAAAGATACTGAACATTAACTAAAGCTCAGAGAGTCACATGTGAGGATCCCTCTCCCAGCACACACGGACGATACATCCTGATGGAACTGAGATATTTTCTATTCCTCAGCGATGACTCCCCAGGGAAACAGGAAGTGCTGCGCTGGAGTTCACTCATTTTCTTCCAGTTTTTCCAAAAGAAGAAAACGTGTCTGTGGCCATGTGACCGATCAATGTTTATCAGAGTCCATGGGTCAGTCGGTGTCAGTCGTGTTTGTGTATCACAGACAATCTGGAGCCAGAAAAAACCGTCTGTCTCAATTTGTCTCAAATATCTTTCAAAGCCACATTTGAAGCGTCTCCTTCCTTCTGGTCCTCTGTGTTCTGTTGTTGAGCAAGTTGAATCAAATAATAAAAGTTTTAATTTGAGGAGATCCACATTTCAAGGGTTTAAAAGTGATGGACACTTGTTGGTGACTTGTTTCTTGTGTCATTGCAACATGAGGGTGAAGAGAAGCCTTTCAGGCTGAACCACAGTTGGACGCTTTGTAAACAAGCAGATGTGTAAAAGGAAAACTGGACATTTTCAAAACAGCTGTTAGGACGAGGAGGAGGACATCCAAAAAAACATTTGGATGTTTCCGTGTCAACGATCGAGACTTTGACACCAGAGGATTCACCTCGAGATCAACCTCAGAAACCGACTCAAAGAAATACGTCTGAAGAACCAAAGCCACCAGCTCATCAAACATCGGTGCTGGTTCATGAACCGATGATTCCCCTGCTGACAGGAGCAAGATTGAGAAGATACACAAGAGCCAACACACATTACACAACGCTTCATTAATGATAAATCACGAGTTCCTCATTGAATCAGTCACCAGCGGAATCAAACTACTGGCCAAAGTTAAGAGTAGCGATGAACCTACCCTCCGACCAGTGGAGAACCATCCACCCATTTCCACTGATCCTCTGTGTCTTCGTCAGTGATCCCGAACCAGAAGGCGTTCCAGTGGCCTCTGGGCAGAAGATCCCACAGAAACTTCTGAGGAGGACAAAGCGTATCCAACACGTTTCAGTCATCAAACTGGACGATCCTCATAAAACCCTCGAGACTCCATGAAGGTCCAGCAGCGGACGATGCGTTGGGACGTACCTGCTCCTCGGCCGTGTGGATGATGGCCAGGTGAGCTCCTTTGCTCTGGCAGAACGACTGACTCTCCGGCCAATCCCTGGACAGTCTGGAGATGTGGTAACAGCTGTTGTTGAAGAGAAGCCAATCCACGGGGCAGAGCGGCGGCGCCTCGGTCGGTTTGTTCACCTCAGGTGCTGAAGAAGGACGCAGACATGAAACACATTAAACAAAGTTAACCCCCCCACACACACACACACACACACAGTACCATGAATCTGAAGTATTTGATTAATTACATCGTCATCAAGTAGAAAACATGTCAGTAAGAATGATCCGATCTCAAACTTAAATTAAACGTCCGTTTGAAGACCTTCGTACCTCTCGTGGCCGTCTTGGTGGACAGTTTGACGAGCAGCTCGTCCTTCTCTCTCTGCAGCTGCTGCGTTTCCTGCCGCAGAGCGCTGATGGTGGCGATCAGAGCCGACACGTTCGCATCCTGCGTCTGCTTCTGTGTCTCCGAGGCGACTCCACCGCTTCCCTGAGGCTTGTTTTTATCTGTGGAACCATGGACCAGGAGAAAGAGAGTGAAATCATCAACGTCTTCGTCTTCTACGCGTACGGCTCCTCTTCTTCATCCTGAGAGATTCGTGTTCTTCCAGTTTCACGTCCGTCATGTCGCTCACCGAGAGGTTTCCAGATGTTTTCTCACATGGACTCATTCTGACATTTTACATTTTACTAAGAGGCTGCAGGAGAAGATCCAGAAAATGTCCAGAGACACTGACTCAGACATTTGTTTTCAAATACAGAACCTGCAGAACATGTGAGGAACACGTCAGGAACACGTCAGGAAGCTGAATAAGCAGAATCAGCTTTTCATCTTAAAATGCTTTATGTGTTGCAATGCTCAAAACCACTAGATCCTCTTTCCTCGATTGAAAGTGTAAATTCAGCAGTTCACAATTCATCGCAGCGTGTGTGTAGCTGGACCAATCACGTCCGAGCAGGTCAACAGTCCGAGAGGTGGAGCACATGAACCGTAACACGCGGACTGTTGACGTGTGAATTCATCTGGAGTCTTCGCCGTCAACAGACATGAGACAAAATGTTGTCAAACACCTCAATCAGCACACAAACCACACGAGGAACCAACTTCAACGCGTGTGGACAATAAATACCAGCGAGCACAGAGCGGGTCGGTGACACGTGTACTCACAGTGTGCAGCCACGGCTATGATGGAGATCAGCAGGATGGCGCAGAGCGTAGCCAGGCAGATGGTGGCGAGGCGGTAGGGCCCGGGGACGCTCAGCCTGGGGGTCAGTCTGACCTGGGAGACTGAGGGGAGAGTCTCGTTCATTGATTCGCACGGTGTCCTCACATAACCAGAGATATTAAAGGGACAGAAACCTCACTGTAGACAATCGATCAGAGAAGTGAGAATCACACCTCTACCAAATATCAGTCTTTAACTCCACCATGGAAAACATTGTTTCCTGGCAAATTAAAAAAAAGAACATGTGAAAACTTCTTCACGGCTTCCAGAACTCTGTGTATTCATCACTTATTTTCTTAAACGTGGAGCCTTTTGTCCACGAGGGAAAAGTTCAGGCTTGTGTGTGAAACGTGTCAGAACAGCTTCAGGGACGTGGGAAATGTGAACTGCACCTCAATTACCGAACGAAGCACAAATGACTTTCACTCGTGTGGATGTGAGTCGGAAATCACCACAGATTCAGGTTTTTAGCAGTAGCAGTAGCAGTAAGGATTATTTTACCTCATTTATTTGGAGCTGAAACAATTAGTTCAGGTTAGTTCATTGAACATTTATCTGCAACTGTTTTCACGATCAATTAATTATAATTACAATCATTGTTCAAGCAGTTAAAAACTTTTCATCTTCTCCTGTGATTTGATGGTTTATAGACTATAAGAAAATCTAATATTTACAGATTTGTATTGATTTTATTCCTCTTTGTTTCTTCTCAGCTGTTTTTTTTTTTACTGTTGGTGGATCAGTCCATCTTATTTTCTGTATTATTTCAACTCCCTGAATTGATTTGACTGAAATGTCCTGAACCTTGTTTGTTCATGTGACTTTGTTTAGTTTTGCAAAGTGCTGCAAACAAAACGTTCATTAGAACCAGAATGATTGTTTGGTGCAGTTCCATAGAAACAGGAGGAGACAGAATGCAGCTTGACTTGTGTTTCAGGTTGTTATTGAGTCCAGCAGCTGGATCTGATTCTCACCTTCCACATCTGTCCTGCGCTGCAGCTCGTCCTCGGCCTCGATCAGCTGCGAGTACATCCCGTCGAAGCCGGAGGTGGAGGTGGAGGTGGAGGTGGAGGTGGAGGTCGTCATCTCACCTGAGAAGATCCAGAGAAGATCCAGAGAAGATCCAGAGTCAAGAGAAGAAACTTCAGTCTGTTTACAACCAGACCCCTAAAGTCAAGAGCCACACAGTAACACCACCTCACATCCGACTGTGTTTCAAAATAAAAGCACTCACAATGGTAATGAAATTGATCTAAAAAAAGAATCATGGTGACGATTGTTGTTTTCTTTACCCTAGAATGGCA